TTTCTGGGCTTTGTTCAAAAGTGCAGGCGCCCGTCAGAGAGAATTTGTCCCAACAATGTCTGAAGAGAGCGGGAGAGGCGTGAAGAGCAAAACACACACACACACTGAAGCAGCCTCAAGCCGCAGACGTCTCACTGACATCTTAATGCAGAAAACAGTAATCCTGATTACCACTACAAGCTGTGTCTGTATTCAGCATTCTGTACTGAACACACACACAAGGGTGGATGTAGTGTGTGTGTGTGTGTGTGTGTGTGTGCATGCATGTTTGTATATGTACAGATGTTAATGTGTGAGATTTTGTGTGTATGTTTGTCTATGTATGTGTATGTTCAGGCTTTTTGTGTGTGTGTGTGTGCACGTGTTCATCTGTACATGACATGCACATGTGTATGTGTTGTTTTTGTCTGTGTATGTTTGGGTCAGTAAAAATAGATTACGTCTTACTTATCCAAACATTCAGTCTTATCGACCTAAATTATTCAGTTGTACTAACACAAACGATTCAGTTTTACAAAACAAACAGTTTAGCCTTACAGACCCAAATGATTCAATCTCAGTGACACCAACAATTCAAGCTTACTGAACCAAATGATTCAGTCTCATTGACACAAACAGTTCACCTTTATTAAACCAAATAATTCAGTCCTTTGAACAATATAGTCATGCTGAGTATTACTTATCATTTTACTGACCTTAACTGATTCAGTCTTACTGAACCAAACCATTTAGTTTTACTGAACAAAACTGATTGTCTTACTGAACCAATTTTTCATTCAGTCTTTTTGACTTAAACGATTCAGTCTCGCTGATCCAAACAATTCACTCCTACTGAGCAAATTGATTCGGTCTCAATGACATAAACAATTTGATCTCATTGACGTAAATGATTCAGTCTTACTGAGACGAACAATTCCGTCTTTTTTGCTCAAATGATTCAGTCTTACTGACCCAACTGATTCAGTCTCACTAAAGTAAACAACACAGTCTTACTGAGGCAAAGCATTCAGTTTAGCTTTCTCAAACAAATCAGTCTTACTGATCCAAACAATCCAGTTCTAGTGATCCAAATGAATCAAACCAACCAAATGATTCAGTTTTACTCGCCCAAATTATTCAGTCATATTAACCCAAACAATTTAGTCTTACTAAGCCAAATGATTCTGTCTCATTGGCAAAAATGATTCAGTATTACTGACCCAAATGACTGAACTTTACTGACGCAAGTGATTTGATTTACTGACACAAACAATTCAGTATTATTAACCTAACTTATTCCAGCTTACTGTCCCAAATGATTCAGTCTTAATACAGCAAACAATTCAGTCTCACCGAGCTAAATGATTCAGTTTTACTGACCTGCTGCTGCTGCTGATCAGAAGTGTGTTTTCACTCAGTGATCCAAACAAATCTAATGGTGCTCTTACTTCTGCAGAGCTAAAGTTACACTGTGAACTGCAGGCTGGCAACAGCCCTATACACAGCAAGCATGTGTGTGTGTGTTTGTGCCTGGGTGCACATGAATGTCAAATGGCTCAGCGACTTCCCCTAAAAAGCACCAAATAGCCACTTCCTCACTGTAAAACCACACATGCACACACAATCCCACAAGTCCTGTTCAGTCCAGCAGGTGCAGGATCAATGAGCTGTGACTGAAACAAAGAGTGTACTCCCACAACACACACACACACACACACACACACACACACACACACACACACAATCATAACTGTACAACTGAAGCCTTCACTACATGCAATGGTGATCGTCCAGCTCAGAGAAGCCACAAGGAATAAAAACATGAGCACACACACACAATTGTAACTGTACAGCTGAAGCCTTCACTACATGGGCTGGTTGTTGTCCAGCTCAAAGAAGCCACAAGGAATAAAAACATGAAAACACACACATATACACACACACAGGCACACACACACAATTCACCTCTGTTCACTGGCACTGACCTACAGCACATAAAACCACAAAGCCAAGTTTAATTACAGTAAAATATCACACACAACCACACACACACTAAAGTATTGTTTGTGAAAGAAGAAATTACTTTCTCTTGTGGGGACCTGCAAAATATCCCAATAAGGACAATGTTCTGGCATTTTAATATCCTGAACAGGGACACAGAGAGTGACTACAGCAAATAAACATACACACAAACACACACACACACACACACACACACACACACACACTTCACTTTAAGCTCAGAGACCGTTAAAAATCCACTGATCTTTCAAATGTTCTGCTTAATTAAACCATTCAGAGTGGTTTGATGTGAAATGCTCTGTTTTTAAGAGGCTTACTGTTATCATTATTTACAGTGGTGGTGATAGAAACCAAACATCTGAAAAGTTTCTAAAAGCTCCCTCACAGAAAATCATTACATGAAATGGTAAAGAATGCACTGCCTATTACCTGAGACATTGTTTTATGATAGTTTTCAGGAAGTTTTGTCCTAAAATATATTTATGCATAAGACAAAACTTTCCCTAAAGGAAACTTTTTTTTTCCATCATCAACATTACATCTAAAAACTCAAAAGGTTAATGGGTGGTTTTGGATGGTAAATAAAACCCCCCTGGTTCCTATCACCACCACAGAAAAGAGTCAGTAAATTTTTCTGCAATGAACCATTTCACATTAAACCACTTTGACTTCGTTCACACCTCAACCACTGGATTATGCAGAACTGTCTAGAAATCAGTGGAATACCCCTTTAACTCATGAACTCAGCAGCTAATACAGCAAAGTGTGGTAGGCTGCCTCCTGAAGGTAAACGATGCTGGGAAACATACTAAAACAAAACAAAACAAAAGCATCTGAGACTCTCTGCTGACCACTTAACTTAAAAAAATGTTCTATCCACACAGGAGTAGTAACTTGTGCCATTAACTCAGTTATGGATTCAGAAGAGGTGGTGGGCTCAAACGATGGTTGGTGAGGGTATGTTATTCAAAGTGGTTTGATGTGAAATGTTTCATTCTATTAAAAATTACTCTAAAAACTATCAAGTCAGAATTATTTACAGTGGTGGTGACAGGAACCAGACATCTGAAAAGTTTAACGCCTCCAAAAGCTCCCTCACAGAAATTTATTTAATGAAATTATGATTTTTTTTCCAGATTTATCACTATTTTACCATCATCAGCATTATATATAAAAACTCAGAAAGCATGTGTAGGTTCACTGGTGGTTTGGGTAATACATAAAGTTGATATATTTGTGTTGTACACATTGTGACTCCTGGTTCCCCTCACCACCACTGTAAAGAAATCAGTTAACAAGACCATTTGTGCTCTCTTGGACTCCCAGCGATGGATGGCTGTAGCATAACCGCAATCTCGTGATCTCCTATTGACAGGGCCAATGCTTAGATGGTTGCACCACTTGGGAGCCCCACTAGCATGGTATTCTCTTCATTCTTTGTGGTGATTGTGGCCAAAGAGTTCCTAATGAGTCAATTAAGGCCTAATGGGATAATTAAGATCTAAGACTTAAAAAAAAATGTCATGTTTATGAAAGTATCTTCCTTGAAATGAAGAGCAGTTTTACCTAAATAATGACTTGACAGTTTTCTTTTCCAAACTATTGTTATTGTTAGCATATAATAAAACTCTTTTGGCCCAATTTTGCTGTAAACACCTGATATTACACACATGGTTAAAGGGGATAAAACAGGCAGCCTCTGTATTATTTACAAGCTAGCTCTGTCAGTACTAATATGTGGCACAAATATTTTAGCGTTTGTCTCTAAGAAAAACCTGCTTACCATATAATGGAAACTGAAGTTTCCTCACTTTTGTTTAATTAAAGAGTTTTATGTTAACATTGACCACGTTTACATGCACTTAATAATCCAATTAGTAATCTGATCAACGCATTCATTTGCACTTGAGTAATCAGATAATGTAAATGAGTAATCAGTGGCGTAAACGTGAAGTAAAACTTAATGCCTCTTTTTTTTTTAACATCGTGCCACTTTACCTGAAAATATGAACATACATCATCTAGAAGATGAAGTAAATTTAAATCCTTCATTTTGTCGAGAATGCAGTTGGTTTCAGCGTCCAGTACCGCAGTCTGTTCTCGCGCATGCGCAGACTAAGAAATCGAAGGAAATCTGAGTACGAGTATACATGCTCTGAGAAATCAGATTACTAAGCTAAAATCCAGCTCTCTTTATCGGATTTCTTTATCAGATTTCTAGACCTTACTCTGATCTAAGAAATTGGAGTATGCTGTTTACATGACCAATTGAATAATCAGATAACTGCAGAAATCCGCTTATGATTGGATTATTGAGTGTCTGTAAACGCACTCATTGTTAAAATTCCAAAATTTAGTAGTCTGTACAGTCCATGCTTGGAAACTAAGTTTTAAATGAATTGCTTTTGTGATGTTACAAAAATTCAGCCTACAGCAGTTCAGCCCCACCCATTCATACAGAAGTTATTCAGAGTGTTTCAACCCAGACTGCTTTCAGAACAAGGGCAGCCAATCAAAACAGAACTAATTTACACACATCAGTCTTAAAGGCACAGTAACAAAAACAGCCCGTTTGCCATACAACCACACAAACATGGTTTTGGGTCCTTCAACGTATTACAAAGTGACAAAGAAAACTTAGGTGTCTGCAAATGTTTGACAGTCAAGTTATTAGAGTGATTTACAATGTCATACTTTAACACACCTGATCCAGCTTGATAAATTGAGTCAGGTGTGTTAGATTAGGGAAAACGTAAATACATGCAGACTTGGACGAAGAGCCAATGCGCTGGAATGAGAATACATTCCAATTTTTCTTTGCTGTAAAACCAGATGTGGAGCAGCGTAAAACTGTGTTAGCGCAGTGCAATAATAACTCAAAGAGAGAATGAAAGTAGCTTAATTGTAAAAAATCAAACATTTCATGGATGTTGTAGAAAACACGGAAGAATGAACCCATATCTAAAGCAATAGAAAGAAAAATGAAAAATTCACCTTACCATTTGAGTATGAGTCCTGGGGCAGTCGTTAATATCCTCCACTTTCTCATTAGCTGCAAAAGAGAAGATTCAAAAACTGTAGATCACAGACTTTAAAACACACACACATACACACATGGACCGCATAGCCTCTCAGGCTTGCCGTCATGAGGGAGCCAGAGTTGAAACCAGAGCGTACGTGGGTATATATGTGTATATACGTGTGTGTATGTATGTGTGTGTATGTAATACTGACTTCTGTGCGAAGTAAAACACGCACGGCTGTTAATTCATCAGCTGTTGGCTGAGCGTTTCTGACACACTATCTGGAGCCAGTGTGCTGGAGGGCAAGGCTAAAGTTTCAGCCCAGCCCGGAGGAGGAGAGAAAAGAATGAGGGAATGAAGGAAAGAGAGAAAGAAAGAAAGACAGAATACACACAAGTCACACTGGTCTTGCTTAGGAAAACACATGGGACGCACATGCTCTAAAGCACTGGTTTGATGAAAAATCTAATGTACCCCCCCCCAACCCACCCTTACTCCAACTGTAGTCAAACAGTCAAAATATGTTTGGTGTCTGAAGTTAGTTTTAGCACTAGAACTATGAGGCTAATGTAGCTAACGAACTCATTAAGAAGAAATGAGCAATGACAAGAGGTGTTGGGATAATATGAGGGCGACATGATTGCCCACACACAGGCAATGATCTGCCTATACATATTGTAACTGTGTCACAGAAACTGCTGTATGTATCATCCATGTGTACACTATCTGACCAAAAGTATCCAGACAGTTCTTCTAATGAATGAGGTCACACATTGCTGAAACAGGTGTTCAATTGCACACACATAGCTTATATAACCTCCAAAAGCACTGACCAATAAAATAGGACACTCTGCAGCAGCCGCACATGAGCCTATGGTCACCATGCCCAGCCCCCCCCCAGCTTTGAGCTGTGGAGCAGTGGAATGCTGTTCTCTAGAGTGATGGAGCTCCATCCAGTACCTCTTGGATGAGTTGGAGTGACGTTTGTGATCCAGAACTAATCATCCACTATCAGCACCTGACCTCACTAATGCTCTTGTGGATGAATGCAATCAAATCCTCACAGCAATGTTTCAACAAGTCATCCCAGAAGAGTGGAGGCTGTTACTGCAGCAAAGGGAGGCAAACTCCCTATTAAGTAATCTCAAATACACTTGCTTATGTGATTTCTGTCACTGTATGACACACTTATCTATTAACATGGACTAAAATACATCATAGTTATACATCATAACTATACATCATAGTTTCTGTTTCAGAAATCTAAATTTTGTCTATGCTTTTGTCTTTTAAACTTAAACTTAGCACCTCAACATGGTTTAAGGCAAGTGTGGCTGGGAATGCAGTTAGCACCATGCTAAACACAGATGCCTCGCCATACCTACATAAAGCGTCTGGTATTTTTTGCCCTGGTATCTTTTGTCAGTTCCATTCTGATTGGCTAGCCACAGGATCAGTGCAGCAAGTTCGTTAACACTACATTAACGGTAACAAATGAATTGGTAGTTATATGTTAATAAGCAATTAAATACTCCTTGTGTATGTATATATATTCCAGTGTGTTTCCCACAGGTTTGTGTTTCGCCATGTTAAGCGACAAAAATGCACCAGACTCTCAGATGATAGGCAGACGTCTGGCTTACAAGACGAGCACCATATTAACTGATGGGTATGAACTTTAATTACGTGTTAGCTACACTAGCCTCCAGTGCTAAAACTAATGAAGCAAATTTCAGACACCAAAAATGCTCTGGCTGATCATCTACATCTAGAGTAAAGAGGGAAAATGGGGCAAATTAGATTTTCTTCAGACTGTTCTTTTAACAAGTGAAATGCCTCCCAGAGAGAGAGAAAAAGCTGAATGTTCTCAGAGTACATGCTAAAGGAAATCACACACATATATATAGAGTGCATTCACCTCTGTGGGTATGGGTGTGTAAGTGAGCAGCAGTGTGTACATTAAAAAGTGTGTCTGACTCTTCAATGTCACACTTTACAGTTTCATTTTTTTTCTTTTTTTTATTTAATTTTTTTTTGAAAGCCACCAAGCCACAAGGGGGCGCTAAATGGAAGATTATACTCGGAACATCAGTGAAAATGTGACTACTCCCTAACAGAATAAGGTACTAGTAATAAAACCTTGAATATTTGATGTAAATTTAGAACATTGAGAGCATTTGTTTGTTATGATTGCTGCTGTTTACATTACTTTTTGAACGTTCTGAGTGTGTGTGTATGTAAACAATGTATGTAAACATGAATTCAATACACACATGTATACACACATACTTGAATTGGAATTTATTTCAGTGATGTTCTGTAAGTCTGTAACTAAATTGCCAGTAAAACATATTTCTTTTAATTAAATTGAATTAAGAGACAAAAGAACCTCTTACCTATAATTTGGATGATCTGTGCCAGTAGAACTCCGTCTGGGATATCCTGGGTCAGGTCCTTTATGAGGCGGGGACAGCCTGCTTTGGTTAGGTAATGATTTGCCCAGTCAGTGTAGATCTACAACAAGAAAGAAGACAAAATAACAATGAGTCACATTCATAAAAAAGCTACATGCTTCTGTAGTGTAAAACTGTAGTGTATTAACTGTAATTTCCCCAAATTTTCACATCAGCGTCATCCCACAGGACACTCAATAACAACAAAAACACCCCAAAGGGCCATGTATATTATGAGGTTTTGCGATTCCATTAGTGTGAGGTGGACTAGAGCAGGACTGGTATTACTAAGGGAGCTCCAGGTTCAAAAGACCATTCTTTCATTCATTCATTATTACTGTCTGACTGTAGAAACTACATGCATTGCACATTTATACGGATTAAAATCACTGCACAATTAATAATGTTAGACTGTAATAACTGTGGAATGATTTTAATGTAAAAAATGCACACACTGCAGATTCATACTGGTCTAAAATAACTACACAATTATTTTTTTGTCAGGCTGAAACTACACACACTGCACCTTCATACTGGATTAAAATCACTCCACAATCACTACATTCAGACTGTAAAACCTACATACACTGCAGATTCATACTGGATTGAAATCACTCCACGATTATTACTGTCAGACTGTAAAAACTGAACACACTGCAGATTCATAATGGAATAAAATCATTCATTTCATTTGGTTATACTTACAGAAACAACACAGGTAAAAGTAATACAGCTTAAAACGGGTTAAAAAGGCCATGATCAATGACAACAGCAGGCACTCAGGAAAACAGAGAGAGAGAGAGAGAGGGAGAGAGGACACATGCTTACTGAATATGACAGGACGTCACTTCACAAGAGCGATGCAGATGAATGAACGCTGAACACTAACCAAACAGCAAACCTCGTCCATCTCCCCCCACACAGGAACACACCCGCCATCAAAAACCTCCAGCAACCACAGGCCAAGTTCAGTTTAATCAAAACTATCAATCAAAACACACCCGTTCTGTTTGTAATAGATTAGCGCAGATCGCTCGACAAATAGAAACCAGAGAGGAAGATGGAGGACAGAAAACAGAGCACATCTGACAGCCTGGCCTTCGTTAGCTGTTTTATCAGATGTGGGTGTTTAATTTTGATTCACATAAAAACAAATTTCTCTGAGGTTTGATTAGTTTGTCAGTCTATAGAAAGAGACAACAGAGCTGTCAAGAGAATTAAATGCCATTCAAAGCAGTGTTGGGGCAGCATCGTTTAAGCTTCAGAAGATGAATATTTGTTCTTATAGCAAAACGACTCGTAACTCGGCAGACAAAAATGAACTGAGGAGTTTATTTTACTCAACAGAATGAAGGTAGGTTGAAATTACCCTTTCAGACAGCTAGAGACATTACCATCACTCTTCTATACTCTTGTCACAAAACTTTTGCAAAACTAGACTGTACAAACAACAATAGCTTCTTATCAAATTCAGTTCATGATAAAATATGTCCTCTTGAGTTACAAACACTATTGTGGTATGGATTGAAAGTTCAGAATCTGCAATTTTCACACATATTCTCCACTTGTTCTAGTGCACTACAAGTAAGAAATAATTCAAATAAAATTACAGCATGCTTTTGTTATCGTCAATGGTAACCAGGGTTAACTGCAAACGCTATGATAAGGTAACATATATGCTTGTATGTTAGTCTTCTAGATGTTAAGAAAAACTTTACCAGCCAGTTTGAAGTTCCAGACAAATTCTGCCCCCCCAGCCATGAAGTCGCTACATTGCTGAGGGGATTTTGCTCTCTCACACTGCTTGAAAACGGAAAAACTCTCTTTACTTTGCAGCAAGCTTTAATCCCACCACCAATACGTGACGGGGCTTTGAGATTATCGACATGAGTTTTTCTAGAGGGCCGAGGATGGACCCCTGAGGAACACCACAGGCAAAAAAATCCCCCAAAGCGGCTGGCTACACTTGGAATGAGGGGAAACGAACCAGTGTGTCCTCAAATACACTCAGCATCCTGTAAAGTGCATACATCTTCATTTCTGCTTGTCTTCTGCTTCTGTCTGCTACAGACTCTGAATGTGCTTCGTCATAGATCCATGAAGAGCAGATGCTTAATTTTGGAATCTTTTAACGCTTAGAAGTCTAGAGTCATTAGTGCTGTTTTGCTATACATTCAGTTTACATTACATAATTAGTTACGAGTAACTAACAACATAGTTACATAGTTAATGACATTGTTAGTTATGAAATGAATTGCATTCTGTTTTATTTACATTCTGTCTTTTTTGTAAAAAATAAAAAAATGTAAATGTTTCATCAAATTTATAGAATAATAAAATATTCTCTTCCACTACTTACAAACACAAATGTGGTATAGATTAAAAAATCAAAATCTCTACTTTCCACGCAAGTTCTCCTCCTGCTTTCGTCAACTATGAGTGTAAAATAACTCAACTAAAATTACAGCATGTTTTTGTTTGCTACATTAAAGCACAATGAACTGAAACCCACATAAGGCAGAGCATTTCCAGTTTTACTGAAGGAAAGATTATGACACAGGAAATGTTTGGAGACAGACATAAACTCCCATAAATGCCAACATACTTTCTGCTGACTTTTTAAAAGCAGCCTATAAAGACCATTCCCTCAAAAACACAAATACTCATAACGCTGTAAAGACTCAATCTGAGATCAGTCGCAATTTCTCTCCGCCCTCGTAAGTCACATCCAATTATAGCCGCTTCACTTGCAGTGTGTTCCCTCAGAGACGCCCACCACCTTTCAAACGCTTCTTGTGTTGTGGTTTCAGCCACTGATGAGGAGCTGTTAAAGAACGGAGGGTGATGAAGAGCTACTTAGTCATCCTCCTTCTCAAACATACCGCTCTGGAAGGAGCGCATTAAAAGCTTTTCCAAACCACAGCGAGTCAACAGACATCCACATGCCAACAACACCATTCAGCACAGGAACACACACAGGAGCTGAAGAACACACACGCTTCTATACGCTCGCTTCAGCTTCTCTGGGGAATTCTCAACTAACATCCTGCGTGAATTGTTTTGATTTAGCTGAGCTACATTATAAACTACAATAAAATTCACTCATTATCAGCACTGAAAGTAACTAGTTGACTAGTTGCGTTGTTATGTCTTTACTTATGTACAACGGTTTACTGATGAATTACATGGGAAACTAGGAGTTTCTGCTAATAGATGATTCTGCAAGGTTGGAAAAAGCTGAGCTCTCAACTGGACTATTGGTAGAAGGGTCAGAGAGACATTTTTGGTGAGAGAGATAGAGAGAGAGAGAGAGAGAGAGAGAGAGAGAGAGAGGGTGGAAGACAAAAAGAGAAATAGGGAAGAGATAGGGAGAGAGAAAGAGGAAAAGAAAGAGATGGCAAGGGGGAAAGACAGAGAAAGAAGGTGAGACATAGAAGAAGAGAAGGAGAGAAGGGGATGAGTTAGGGAAAGAGAGAGAGAGAGAGGAAGAGAAAGAGAAAAGAGAGAATAGCAAGTGTAAGAGAGAGAGAAGAGAAGGAAGAGAGTGGGAGAGAAAATAAGAAAGATGGAAGAGATAGAGAGAGAGAGAAAAAGGAAGAGAAAGAGATGGAAAGGGGGAGAGACAGATAGAAATAAAGCAAGATGTAGAGGAAAAGAAAGAGAAGTGGACAAGCTAGGGGAAGAGAGAGACAGAAAGAAAAAAGAGAGAAAAAGGGGAATAGATTAAGTAAAAAAAAGAACTAGAGGAGGGTGACATAAGGAAAGAGAGACCATAAAGGGAGAATTGTAGAGGGAGGAGAGAGAGAGAGAGAGAGAGAGGAATGAGGTAAGGAAAGAGAGACTGTGAGGGGGGATGAGATAGGAAAAGTAAGAGAGAGGAAAGAGAAAGGGAAAAAGAGAGGTGAACAGAGGGAGGTCCTCTCATTTGAGGGAGAGAAAGTGCATCTATTAATCTGTTAATGAAAACACCACTGAAAGCAGATTAAATCTCTCCTGTACCACCAGCGTCCTCTTAAATAGTTTGCTTCTTTTGTTTTGGAGCTACAGGGCTAATGCAGCTAACAAGTATTGGAACTTTATAGCCACCAGTTAGCATGATGCTCAGTCACCACACACTTTCCTCAAACCACATTGCATTGTTAAGTAATATCAAATAGACTTGCATATGTGACACACTGTTATCTATAAGCATGGACCAAATTATATCAGAATAGCTGAAAACACAACATTGCAGTTCAATGCAGACATACTGCTGTAAACATTAGGACTGTGGTTAATTATCTTTTCCCCGCCTGTATGCTCGTAATGGTTGGGTCATTTTGATTTCTAACATGCAGCACTGGCGTAACCAGAATTTCATTTTTTGGAGTGGTTGGGGGGTCCTTTAGGGGGCCCATATCCATCGCTATAGTGAGGATGATGACCACCACCTTGTTCAATTATAACCTGTATAGTTACATTGTTAGAAATGAGCTAATGCTGTGTTTGATGCTGTGTTCACTTACTGATGTTGGGGTAAAAAAGCGCCGTTTTGCGTGACCGACAGTGGCATGCAGCCACGTAAATGTTGCCACGGAGATAGACCTTGAAAATTTGTGCTGATCTAGGGAGAGCTTTGTCAGTCATGTGCAAAGGCCCTGTTTCCTTGCTTTACATTTTGAACCATTTCATTTGCATCTGAGAACTTTCTTCCAATTCTGATCATTATTCTCAGGGGGCCTGGCTTTCAAGGCTGATCCAGTAGCTGCGCCCCTGCAGTGCAGTAGGCTGGTGAGCAGTATGTAGTTACCTCACTATAAAGATGTCTCTGAGACATATTGCTTTCTAGCTACCCCCCCCCCAACACCCCCCCACCACCACCCAAATTGTAACCAGGTTCCTCCTAAAATGAAATTCTGGCTACACCACTGAAATCCACAAACAGAAATGAGGTTTGTTGGAGGCTTCAGGAAAATATCAGTAACAGCCAAAGCAGCAGACAATCTGGAGAATAAAAGCTCCATAATAAATAGCACAGTGCAACATGATGACCAGGCATTATGCTGTAGATGCTTTAATCGA